TCCGCCCGCCTCGGCCCGCTCCCTCCTTCCCTGGAGGATCCGCCCCCCCTTGTCTCCCGAGTCCCGTTTCCCCCAAAATTCGGTGAAGAACAGGACGGGGGGATCGCCCTTCCCGGGAGCCCCGCGTCCCACCGACCCCCCTCTTGGTAGGCCCTCCTTCGGGGAGGGGTCAGGCCCCGCCGGTGCTTGTGGCCGGGCCCCTGCGGAGGAAATCGCGGCGGTCGCTCCCCGGAGGGCTGTCGCGTTGTGCCGTGCCTCATCGATCCCCCCCCCTGGGGAGGCGAGCGGCGGAGGTGCCGTTATCGGCTGATCTCCCGCTCCCCGTGGGAGTATGTAAACTTTCCTGAAGATCGGTCTGTGCTGTTTGCCAGATCTTCCTCACCGCAGGCTCTTTTTGTGTAATTTTTAGTTACCTGCTCTGTTCTTATTGTTTAGACTTTCCAGGGTTGGGCCTCCCCCTCCCTCCGCCTTTGCCCACCCTTTGGTTTCTTTTTTTTTTTTTTTAAGGAAGTTCCATGGCTGAGTTCCTATCTTACTTTTCATAGTGGCTGTAGGATGCTGTGTGAATGTAACTTTCAGATAAAGATTTCCATGGGACTTGTGACTTTGGGTTCTCAACTACAGACACCTCCAGCATACTTCCCTTCTCCCCAGCTTCAGCTCCCTTCTCCAGAATAATGCCCCCCATAATGGGTGATTGACCCTAGAAGCTAGAAAGCACTTGAAAGTTTCTTGAACAGAGAATCTGCAATCTCTAGTGGGCATCTTAAAAAAATGAACAGAAATATTTTCTGTAGCTTTTCCTGAGAGTCCAAACCTCTTCACCATGTTTAGTGAAATTTTACAAGGGTTGTGTATGTCTCTTGTAGGTTTTCAGTGGGTGTCTGAAATTTTCTTCACCGGCAAATATAAAACCTAATTTAAAAAAATAGATAATTTTTGTAATCATATGGGCCACACAGCAGAACAAAGTTTACATGAGAACGTATAGCGTATAGGTCACTCCTTTGTTGGAAATACAAGTGGGGCCTTAACTCCTATAAACAGGTTGTAGCTCTCAAAACATATTCGGGCAATAAATAGAAATTAGGATCCAGATTACTTTCCATTCTTTGGTGCTGAACAATGTGTCGTACACTGGGAGCGTCCTTCTTTGCCTGAGAGTCATTGAACTTGCACTCTTTTATGTCTAGAACTCAGTAAAACAGTCTGCAAGCTATGAGTTTGTAAAACATGCTGCTTTAAAAATAAAATAAAAGTGCTGTTAGAGGAAGCACCATGTTCAATACTTTAGTGGATATTAAGAAACATGAATGCAAATGAAACAACATTTTTGAGAGAAGAATCACTGACCGAGTTTCATGTTTTGTGATTTTAGGGTAGATGTAGCTTTGCATTTTTTAGACCGAGCCTGTGGAAAAACATATCTATATGTGATAATCTGTGTTTTGTAGTCAGTGTGTTCCATTTTGGTAGAGATAGTGCATAATCTCCTAGTCGGTGATTCCATAGTACATCATTTTCTGTGATCTGGTCTGTAAGACTTTCTCTGCCAAAGCTGACAAGCAAGATTCTGTCAACAGTGTATTTAAACAGTTTTCTAAGTCTTATTCATTTGTTAGCTTTTTGAACATTCAAAACAGAAATATTTAGCTGGTTCTAGTTGCATTGTTTTTCTTGTTCCAATGAAATGTAGCTTGATACTTGGCAAACTGGATTAGTTGCTTTTGGGTGATTTAACTCGAGAGATGAAAACAGAATTTTGAGAGTTTACGTTCAGAATTCTGGGTCTGTGGTGTAGCTGTGTAACCATTCATTCCTTTCAGAAAATGGATAATTTTAAATGGACAGGCTAAGAAGTGCATTTTGGCACAAAGAAAAGTGATCCCAGGGTAGCATTTTCTTACATTTATGAGAAGACCAACGTAATTTAGGAGAGGTCTACAGATGAAATGCTTCTGAAATATTTCTTCTGTTCAGTTTTTTTCCTGCAGTCTTTAGAAGTGTATGAATAGTGTTAATGCCTGGAGATGCAAAAAGCACAAATGCAAAGAACGCAGGATCGGGAAGAAAACTTTTAGATATCCTTGTAAAATGCTTTCAGAGTAATTTAATCTGATGGTGAACAGAATGTGAGTTTCCTTTCTGGTGTACCCTGATGCTGTTTGGGCTGTTTGCATTTCAAATAATTTTTCAAGTGTTAAATTATTTATAGTTCAATAAGTATTCCAAAACATAGTATTTGCTAATTTAATTTTTTTATAACATCAAGATCCATGCATCACCAAGTAAATATTTGCATTATTTTTAACTTTGCTGTGAGCCTTAAAAAATCTGATTATGCAAAAGTATTTCAAGAAGTTAGGTTATGGTGGGTTCTGGTATTGCTGTGATGATGTGCCTTCTTGCATCTGTTAGTGCACTGAAAGGCACAAAGCTGTGAGGAGATTCTTTATAATCTTGTTTCTTGGAAAGTTACTATTCTTATAAATTAAAGATGATGAGAGCCACTTAATAAATTTTTGTGTCCTCTAAATTATTTGCATTTTCCAAAGTATGAATTTGCTTGTTAAATGGAAGGATAGCTGGGTTTTTATAGTAGTAATTCTTGTTCCTGTAAGTCAGTAGAACCTGTGCACATGTTCAAGGAAATTCCTGATGTTCCTTTTAAGAACTACTGTCATTGCTGTCAGTATATTGATAATATAATCTGAATATAAAATGAAACATAGACCCAAATGAATGTGTGTATATCAGATTGTTTATACCAAAGCAGACTTTGTGCATTTTAAATTATTTTGTTAGTGTATTTCTAACCCATCACTGTGTGATTTATGTTGAGTTATTGAACGTGAGCCGAAAACAAAAAATCTTTGTGATATTAGTTCCTGCTTCTCTTTTGTAGGTCTCTTCCCTGCTCCCAAATTTTTTTTTTTTTTTAAAGTTTAAAAAATTATGAAGGAACATAAATTTGAAAATCTGTGTATCTTTCCTTCAGGAACCATTATTTCTACTCAGAAGGGATTACAGAATGGTCTTGTTTTGTTTTTTCTTTAGAAGAATACAGTATAGTAATTCTTTTGTGTTTAACACTTAAGGACTCTCTATTGCCACTGCAAAAGGGTGTGACTAGTTTATCCAGATTGGCACATTTTTTGTGCAAATCAGCAAGATCTGAAATCTGTGCGTTCTTCTTATGAGTATGCGTCACCAGCTAGTGAGCCACTTTCCAGTTATAAAAGAAAGCAAATGAAGCTGTTGGTAAAGCAAAGGCAATAGATACAGGACAGACACCGTTTGATGCAAGAGTTCTGTAGTAAGCGTTGCAAGACAAACAGTTAAAACTCAGTCTGCGAAAATCTGTTGAAACAGAAGAGTGAGACTCTCAACAGGATTGTCTTTTAGCAGTAGTGTGTGCCGACAGAAACTTAATGACATTCCTCTGCTTTCGATTAGAAAACCCGTGAGTGATATTAGTGTTATGAGAGTCTGACAGCACCGAGGAGCCGGCAGGTTTGCCTATGCAAATTTCAAAAAGCAGCCGTGCATTTTTGTGCAGCTCGCCATTGCCACGCAGCCCAGATGTATTGCAACTCTGCTTTTCGCATGACTGGGTTGGGTTTTTTTTCTGACAGAAATATCAAACTATATGCTGGCTTTTCTTATTTAGATGAGTCTAGTGTAGGCAAATGCTGAGGAGATGCTTTTACTGCAGTTGTGGCCGATTCTGACAGTAAGGCTCAAATCTCCAAAGTGAAAAGCTGTAAGCAAGTCTGCTTGAAGAGGACGATATTCTCTTTCTTGAGAGATGTAGAAGCAAATGAGCACAAAGTACTTAACGCTGGGTCAAGAAGCACGTACGCTCGTTAGGTATTTTCACTTTTGAACTTGCAGTGTCTGCCTGACTAGGGGATTGGGACCTCCATGTTACGTTTTAAAATGTGTTGCGGGTAACACATGAAAAGTTTGTGATTCATGTGGAGTTTAATTTTAGGTTGATTTTCTTAGATGAGAAAAGCAGCTGTTGTGCACCTACTGAAAACTAGTATGGCACTGCTAAATTAACTGTGGGTCTTGAAAAGGTTTCCATTGCAGCGCGTTAGTCATAGATCCTTCTAAAATTCTGTTCCTGATCCTGTTTTAACTAACCACAGTATCTCTGAAATACCTAAAATGGTAACATTTTATCTTCTCATCTCTACCCTCATCGAAGGGTAGTTACTCATCTGCTGTCATACTTTGTGAGCTTTTACACTCAAAACCTGTTCTGGATGCTGTGCTGGACTCTTGGGTTTTTCTTTGCTTCTGTTTTTGAAGAAGTTCAGTAGTATGAGTTTTATTGCGTGAACAGGTAGTGCTTTTTCTACGGATTCCTTTGCTGTAGTATATAAGAATGGATGAAAGAGTTGCAGTAACTTTTTCCCCCTAATGATTGCTGTACTTGTTGTATTTTCTACTTATTTCTTCTTTTCCCCATAAGTTTTATCTTAGTATCCAGAGTTTTACATTAATTTTCAAACTTTTTTGCCTAAAGAACTAATTCTGCTTGCTGATACAATTTCATTTAAAAAAAAAAGGCAAAATACTGCCTGTGCTGGGTGCATGTTTATTTGAATATTTTGAAGTAGTGTAAAGAAAAGGATTAAAAGGGACAAATCACTTTCAAGCTGCCAATATTATATTTATAAAAGTTAAATTGCCTTTTGTTGATGTTAACATGCTGATTGCACCTTTTTTTTTTGTAGCATTGAGAGGATTGAAGTGGCATTCTAAGGTCATTTGAAATCATGACAAGCTCAGTTGGACAGAAAAAAGTCTCTTCAAGACAAAGGAAGTGTGGGTTTTGTAGATCTAATAAAGATAATGAATGTGGACAATTATTGATGTCAGAAAACCAGAAGGTGGCAGCACATCACAAATGTATGGTAAGTAACTCAGGAAAAAGGAAAGGAATGCAGTGAGTTAGTAAAAGGCTGCAAACAAATGAAAGGTTCAACCAGCTGTGGCATTGGCACAGATGATTAATCACTGTAATTTGAAGTTTTTGTGGGTTTCATATATATAAATGTTCTGTATCACTTATACCCTGAAAAATTAAAAAATAAGTTTTGTTTCTATAATTTTAGCTGTTCTCATCTGCACTGGTATCTTCACACACTGATAATGAGAGTCTTGGTGGGTTCTCTATTGAGGATATTCAGAAAGAAATAAAGAGAGGCACTAAACTGGTAAGTCTCTATTTTTGCTCTTGAAAATGGAAGGCAATATTTTCTTACCTTCTATAAGAAGTTTACCATGAAGTTATTCAGTGTATTATATGTATATGTTTGGGGTTTTTTTTAAATTGCTACCTTTAGGGAGCTCTAAGGTAATGGACAACATATAGAAGAAGATGTTGAAGTAAAATTGGTCTCAGATTTACGAACAGAAAACTTAAGTAGATATGTTTATACTTATATTGAAATGAAATTTAAATGTCAATTAAACAACCCCTGAACTGTCTTTGGGAAAGGATAAGTAGTAGTTTATTTCAGTCGGAATTCTCCTCTCATGTAAACATGTTGTTTTAAGAATTGTACCTTAATCATGGAATTATTAAAAAATAAATCCAGAATTATTATTTTTACAGTCACTTTTTTCCTCGCGTTGGCAAGTGTAGGTGATTGTAGCAGATCTGCATTTTTTGAAAGCAAATTTGAGAACTCATTTACAGAATATGCCCATTTTTCTTTTTGGTGGGCTGAATACAAACGATAGCACTTCCTAAACTTGTTTCTAATCAGGTAATTTCTATTTAGTATTTTTTGTTAGATTTCAGAAAGAAACCCACATTCTAGGGACCTGGCGAGGGTACTGTTGTGCCTTTACCAGTATTTGGTTTTGCTGCCAAAATCTGATTTTAACTATCAAAGGTACTTCTGTTCCTTCCTTTTATATTGATTTAATAGATGATTCTGTGAATATAGATGTCTTATGAGGTATGTGGGTACAATGTGATTACAGCTCTACCAAATTAATGAAAATTAAGCAGCAAAGACTTAATTCCCCAGAAGCTAATTCATGACTTTTAAATTTTTTCCATTTAGAACTAGTGGTTTTCCACTTGGGGAAATGAGTGAGGCTTTTTAAAAATATTTTTAACAAGTAATCAATTCACTCCTCACATTAAAAATTTTCAGCTTAGTTATTTAAAGCACTCTTACATATTTACAGGTTCTTGGACTACTAAGAGTAGTGAGAAATATTATTGTAGAACTACAGTTATATAATAATAGTGTAATATTTCATCCAGTGTTTCATTTGAATCTTTTCCAACGCAGGAGACTTTATTTGCTGTAATTAGCTGAAGCGTAAAGAAATAACTATTCACGAGTCATTCATGGTGTGATTAGGAATTTCCGAAGAACATGGTAGTGGAACTACAGCTCATAAAGAAACCTTTTGATTCTTGGGTCTCTTAAGTGTTTTTTGAAGGTTGTTTATTTTTATGTCGTTGGTGGTTTCTGTCTTTTTGGTTCTCAATCTCTTTATATTCCCTCAGTGATGCAACAGCTGGATATATTCTTGCAGCTCACTAGCTGTACGTATCAGGCACTTTGTTCAGCTTTTTTCAGAAAACCTGGATCTGGTTAACCTAGTAGATTCATAGATCTGAGATGTTTCCTGTTTGGAGAGAATTTACAAGATAATTTTAGGTCTTAACTGAGGTGCCTTATCTCTGTCTGTAGCTGTCAGAAAACTACAGCTCTCAATCACTCTCTGGAGGAATCTGTCTTTCGGCATTGAAGTGTATAGGAAGCTTAAAGCTAAATATTTATCGTTAACCCAAATACCCCCTCTGAGGTCTGCTTTGTGTTCTAGCCTGTTCTTTTACATGGGAACACATTGAGCAAAAATATCTCAGCGTAGTACACTGGGTTAAGTAGTTATATTGATAGCTTGGACTAAATTTGTCTGCTGACAGGTTTTACGTAGTTGCCCTCCTTCAGGAGGTGCTGCTGCTGACCAGGTATGCACTGAAAATTGAGGCCTGTTCATTACTGAAGTGGTCATGACTGACATCAAGAGCCTTTCTAATGATAAAGTATTTCTTTCTGAGAAAAGTTTGTAGGTTCAAACCTTAATAGGCCAGTCATAAAAATTCATGAAGTCTAAATATTTGGGAGCGTATCACTATTATTTGTTACCTGTGCGTGGGAGGATTTTTTTTTAAGAGCTTACCTATTTTGCAGCTTGTTGTACTTCACATATACCTGATATAACTTGGGAATTAATTAATCTGTTGACAGTGGCCGCTTGGACAGCAGGACTTATACCAATGGAATAAATATTTTATTACTGTCAGGAAACATAGACCAATAAATTATTATAAAAATTCCTTTGGTCTGTTCTGTTCATACAGATACATCATGGTGTTTGTAAAAATAAAGTTTTCTTTTAGTCATTTCTGGTTTTCAGAATACTGAAGTACTGACTAAAATTGATTGGATGAATATAATTTCAACCTGAGTTTTTATAAAGAGCTTTGATCAGCCATTGTTATATATTGAAGCATAAGCTATAACAAATTTATGAGCCAAAATACCCATAGAAACTGGATAACAACTGTGGAACGGTATATAACTATACCATTTCAGAGCTTGCAGAGGAGTAAATGGAGATGATCCAAGGCTTTGACATTTTTACTGTTCAGTTAACTTTGTTAAAATTGAAAAACAGGACGGTGATACGTAACTTTGGTGGCATATTTGAGACAACAAGAAGAACTTGACTAAGCTAGTGTGGTGGACAGAAAGCGTATTCCATGAAGATATGTGTAGGGAGTATCCCACATTGCACACTTACGCTCATGGATTTGGAATTAATTGTAACCTTCTGGGGGTTTGGGTGGCGCACAAGATACAAAAAGCTCTGGTTGTCTTGGGAGGGGAGTTTACTGGGAAGTTCTGAGATTTGGGGGCAATATTATGTCAGTAAAAAATAATACAGAGAAAAATATTGTGGTACGATCAATTACTTCCTTTCCTAACACTGTGTAAGAAGGGCAGTGAACAATTTAGAAGCATGACAGTTGGTGTATCCTCAGCAGTGATGGGTCTAATATGAGAAGAATTAATTATTAGGAGAGTAAAGCAACAGGCTCCCATTTAACCTGTTCTGCAGTATAAGTGTAAAGAGCAAGATTTAGTCTAATTGAAGTAAATTCAGTGTATTTAACAAAGATTTCACTAAATTCAGTGGTTTGGATATGACTGTAAAAAAAACCTGTATAGAAAAAAGAGGTAGTCAGCTGCTGAGGCTAAGGTAAATTTGCAGGTCATCAGTATTTCTGAGTGCCAGATTCATTGCTAAATGGGTGTCGTCTTTTTTTTTTTTTCCTCCTACCTTCATGATGTAATTCAGAATTAAACAGATACAATTTTTGATTTTAACTTTTCTGAAATGGTTGGCACAAACAGACTATTCTCGGGATTGGGTTATTTAGGTGAATAGCTGTGTCACTTTCATCAAACACATTCCAAAAAAGTAAATTACTTATTTTCTTAATTGAATTGATAATCAATATATGATGGTTATTGTATTGTTGCATAATTGCAAAAAATTTCTGCTTGATTTTAAAATAAATTATGGAAAACACTTGAGAGCAGGAAGAGTAATGTGTAACTCCTATATTATTTTTGAGCTCAGAAGTACTAAGCCAACAGTGACCTGAATTGTGCTTTCTTTTTCTTTACAGATGTGTTCTTTATGCCATTGTCCTGGAGCAACCATTGGCTGTGATGTGAAAACATGTCACAAGACATATCACTACTACTGTGCTTTGCATGATAAAGCTCAGATAAGAGAGAAACCCTCACAAGGCATTTACATGTAACTATTATTTATTTGCTATGTTTATTTTTGTATTTATATTTCACGTTCTTTGTTAAAAAACCCCAAAAAACCAACAAAGCAAAACAAAAAAACCCACTTTGGAATCTAAACAAAACTGTTGCAAAAAAATTCTAATAATGATCATGGCATTCAAAATAGTGATGTGCTAGAAAAGCATATTTTCACTGCAAGATTTGTATATCAGTGAGTCTTACAAGTGGGAGAAAAATGTACTGGCATTTAAATTTAAAAGATGAGTAAATAATCTGTGAATCGTGACTGACTTGACAGTTTTCAACTACTTTGTTTATAGGATTTTATGTCGAAAACACAAGAAAACTACGCATAACTCTGAAGGTAAAATTATTCAATATAAATATTTCCCATTGTAGAAAGATACTTGGTTAAATTTAATTTTTCTGGAGAATATAAATGTTTTCAGTAAAAATTAGAACTACATTTTTTTGAGAAACAATGAGTTTGGAAGCCCATCTGATTTCTGTATTTTCTCTAAAAATTACTGGTTGAGGTGGAGAAAAACCCGAACCATAAATTTTAGGATGTTCGGAAGATTTGATGTTCTGTCAAAACAAAGTTTGGGTAGAAGTAATGCATTCTCTTCTGGGAAGAAGCTGGCTTATATTTTTAGTTAAATATTCACAATATTAACATCTAAAATATTTTGTCAGGTAATAGCTGATTTTTGCTATTGCAAATGTTCCTAAATATTCACCATTTTTTTAAACTATTAAATAATAATTTTAACTCTTCAAATAAGAAGGACCCAATAGTAAATGAAAAGGTTTGTGATCAGATCACTTACATTTCTGAGTCATTTTGCTAAACAAAAAACCTGTATGGATACATTTATAAAAGCTGTGCATCTTTGCAGAGGAGAGTAGTGAAATGTGTGAGGGGTAATATGCCACAAACGTAGATAAATCATGCTGTCTGTTAAAATTCCAGACTAGTTATGCTATTGTGTATTTATGCAGGTATTTTTCCTTTTTTTCTACTGTATCTGAATTTGAGTAAGTGAACAGTTGTTAGGTTACTTTTTGCATTACTTTCAGCTGAAAGTTCATCAGATTTAACTGAGGAGTATGTGACTTGATTTGGCGAAGAGCAGATTTCATAAATTACTTCAGTCTCTTTCTGCCAAATATATTTTTAAGGTAACTACTACTACCTGTTATGCTACAGGTACTAGGTATATTAATAGTGAGGTTGGAATGTTACTTCAGTGTTCAGAAAGATATTGAAGGCAGTAGAAAATCCCAAATGAAAACTGATTTTTTTTTTTCTTGGCCTATTTGAATAAAAATTGCTGTGTGCTTCATATAAAACGCTCTCTGATTTTGCTATTACTAGGTTTAAACAAGAAAAGCAGTATATATGTTATATTAATTCTCCGAAGAGACAGGGCCACATTATCTTGTAGTTTGGCACTTTGTTTCTTTGGTTTGGGGTTTGCTTTGCTTGTTAGCAGAAATGGAGTATGAAAGACATTTGAGTCCGGAGAGAGATTAATCTCTTTAACTGATTCTTAAACATAATCTTTTCTACTTATTCACAAACGGCTCGGTGTTTGACATCTATTGAAGAACACCTTCAATTCTGCATGGAGCCAAGTGCAAATGGACAACTTTTTCTGCTTGGAATTTCTTGCAGGGTCTGAACTTGTGCTTTTCTTTAAGATTTTTCGTAAAACATTATCTGCAGTTCTATCATGTCATTCTCTAACAGCGAAGGTTTTTAAATTTTATATTGATATAAATCTTCTTGAGAAGACATGGGAAAAATTACTAGAGGTGTAGTGCTTTTTTTTGAATGGCAGTTTATTTAAAACATTAAACTAGACTCATCCAGAGACTCTTAGATTGAGGGTAGAGGAAGGAGGAATAAACAACAGAATTTAGAAAAAACAGGCCAAAGAACCCAATGGTATCTTACTTAGCATTTAACTTTGCATACTTTTTTTTTTTGTTTAGAGTATTTAGTTCTATTATGCTTTACACTTCTAGATATATGTGTAGCTATACTTCACGTTTTTGATTTTTGTTTTTTGTTTAATATTTGACTGAAATTTTACCCAGTGCTCTTTCCCAAAGGATATGTTCTCTTTATAGTCTATACAGTTTAGGGAACTATATCCATAAAATATTATTACTTACAGTTATGGATTTGATAATGCCAGAAGCTGGGGCTTTTTTGTGATAGACCTTCTTTAAATCAAAGAAAGGAAAAATACATACTGCATCTGTCTTACGGAAATTACTTACAGCATTGTATAGCAACAGTATTTTGATACATAGAAAACTAATTACCTTTGGAAGAGAGAAATATACAGAGTGGTTTTCAGAGTTTACGAAGGGCCTTCAGAGGGTTTGTTTCTTAATACTTAAATGCCAAAGTTTGCTTAGTAAAATGGTAACTGTTGGATGGTGAGCTTTATATATGTATTTTGTTGGTTTATTTCTTGAGTAAAATGTGAGTATCACAGAGGAATTTAAATGTGGAAGAATGGTGTGTGAAACCAGAAAGGACTTGCAGAGAAGAGTGGATAGACTAGCTAGGGCTACTAGATGCTAACATAGCTGCTTTCTTTCCCCTCTCCCCTTATTTTTATTTCATTTTTGTGAATCCTTGCTCCCAGCCATGTTTTCATAACAGAATAGTTAAAGCTCATCTGTGGTTATGTCACTCAATGTAGGTGCACGGAGGCACTGGAATTATCAGTCCTTTTTAATGGAAACTTCCTGCTCTTGCTCTGGAATGCTGGTTTTTCTCGTTGGTCAGTGTAGAACATCTGGGGTTTTATCTTTTGTCCTCTGTATCCAGATTTAATTGTTACAGTCCAAATATTTTTATTATGTCATTTCTATTAGTGGATGTTCGAAGAGTTTTTAGGAATGTTTCATTTGGGGCGGTCCAGAAGAGTTTATTTTCTGTAGGCAGTACTGCTGTATAATAGTGAGATTTTTCCGCCCTTCCTTAGAAAAGAGATGCTTTTGGGGCATACTTGTTCAAGTCTGAGATCTGGCTAATGTACCTTTTGTTAGAAGTTCTAGTTTAAAAAGAATATCTGTTAACCATTTAATAACAGTTAAAGAAAAATTCTCGAGGCCACATGGAAATGTGGTTGAAGGACCTATATTGTAATTAAAATTACCTAGTTAAAACTTAATAAAAAGGACCTCTTAGATGTTATTCATTGCTGTCATGAAGTTCAAGTGGCACAAGAATTCATCAGACTAAGTATCTCTATGCTCATCAAGCCAAAATTAATGAGCGATGGGAGTTCATTTTCCTTTAATTGACAGCAGTTGCCGATCTACCTTCTGTTTTCTTTGAATGTAAAAATATGAAACACGGCAGCAAAGTATGTGCTATTTATTATCTGTTTCTGCAGATTGTTGGGTTTGTCTAATTTATCTGTGTGGCCTAGCCTTCAGGTGACAGAGAAATTGTATTTCTACGTTTCCTTCGTGTATATGTATTTGAGAGTGATTCTTCTGTGCTGTGCTCCCACTAACTGGAAAAAGGACAGTAGAAGTGAGTACTGTCACGCTTTGCAGTCGGCTGTGGCTGTGAGGGCAACAGATTCAAAGACACCAGCTCAGTAGAGCAGACCAAGTTACTGAAAGCTTTATGTCTAGATTTTTGTCTTGCTGCTTAAAAATCTAGCAAAATAATCTGACCTGAACTTCAAGTAATAGTTCAATTTGCAATTTAGCCAAGCTGTCTTAAGTTTTCAGTACCGAATAGGTTACAAGAATTGGTGCCAGTGCTTTCAAACTATCACAGCTAGCTATTGGTTGAATAACTGTTCAGTTTGATTCTTTTTGAAGAATAGAGTATTATTGAACTAAGGTTTTGGAACTCTTTATTGGAATTTATTCCAATGTACTGGTAATAATTGTTGAAAAATTACAAATCTGGTATCTTTCAGTTCCCTGCAGGTGGGGCTGCCCTGGCCCCTGTGTTGAATTTAAAACAAATTCAGCTGGTCGGGAATAACTTCAGCTGGTCGGGAATAACTTCATATAAACAAAGATTAGAATGTAATTTCATTCTCCTGTTAGATAGTAGTAATACAAAGAATAATGAAAATAGCCAGATGACTATCTGTTGTTAATGTGTAAAACAGACGCGTGGGAACTGTGGAGTCAGAAAATAAAGTGTCCGTAATTCTTATTGTGGCTCAGGGAATGAGGTTTCCCAATGGAAATAAGGACACGCTCTGTCTCAGCATCCTTTTCATGTTATTCTAAAGATTCTAAAGATCAAACATGAAATCCGTGCTGCTTGTACTTCTCAGTAAGTTGAGTCAGGATAATATTTCTCTGAGACCTATTTAGAGATGCTGCAATGTATATCAGAGGTACTTTTTCGAAGCACTGTGTAAGCCAGAGGCTGGCAGGAAAAATATCTAAAACTTTTTGGCATTATAGTTAGGTAACATTCTGATTCATTTTTGGATTCTTTAATCAGTGTTTGTTCATAGTTGCATTTTCTGCAACACTGCATAAGCTCGCCTGACATTGTGTGCATTAATGCAGTCGGGTATAAAAGTTGCAGCAACGTTGCTGTTTGGTGTCATTTCAGTTCTGCTGGTGGATGGTAACAAATTCCTCCTAGGCTCTGCTAGCTCAGCCTTCTTGTGGTCTGTCTTCTGGGGAATACTGCTCTGAATGTGGCATCAAATGTATACATGGTGTTACGACAGAAACAGTTGCTCCAGACAATCTCCTATGCAGCCCATTATAGACTAACGGGGTATTTTGCAGAAGCATCACAATGGTGTTTTCTTATGGAAAAACGCACAGCTAATGGAAAAGGAAAAAATGTGGTGAATGGTTTGTCCGATCTGGGGAGCCATCATGTGGTGTTTACATTATAGTTCTCCTTCCTACCTAGGCAAGATGTTAGACAAACAGAAACTTGATCAGCTAACTCATGCTAAACAGGTTTATCATACCAGTTGTCATAAGCGTTCTGATTGTGCAGATAAGCTAAGTGTATTGTCTGTCTTCGGTCTTTGCCAACGATTGTTTCCTTGAAAAAGCATTTCAATTGTATGGTAATGAAGGACTTTATTTATTCATTTTCTATGTCAAATATACTTAATTAAAGAGATAATCTCAAGAACTTCATAACATAGATACTACTCAGTCAAAAATAGCTTTTGGACAAGTTGTCAGTTCCTTGATGTATCTGGTACTTTTGGAAAACATATTAGTGACAGGATCTAAGGAGTAATTAAACTTTTTTCTCTCCACTCTTGCTTTCTCCATTGTAGATATGTTTCATGTAACTTAGTCTTCTTCCATTAAAAAAAAAAAAAAAACCCAAAAAAAACAAAAACCCACAACAAAAAAAACAACCACCAAACAACTGAAAAAAGCCTAAAAATTATGTTCAGCATTTGATCGTTAATTTCACATCATTTGCTGATAAAAGCTACTGTTACTATTTTATGATTGGTTTCCCTGATTCTGTATTTGCTTGCAAGGGTTTTTATGCAAATCTTTGGTTCTTATTAATGCTTATAGATGCATTCACATTTTTATTGTTGGCTGCTGGGATAGTAAGGTTTTCCAGGTTTTTTGACACTTCTTTTCAATTTGAAATAATTATGTTGCCACATATGGTTCATTTGGTTTCAGCCATATTTTAAGGACGTCTTGCTTTAACATGCTAAAGTACTTTTTTCTTCCTCTGTTATATTCTGTTTCTCTTCTAAATATCTAGTAAGGTTGATTTTGTTCTTTGTAATTTTTAGAGTTTCTCTTCTATCCCAAATGCACTGTAAAACTTGAAATAAATATGTGTGATTTCAGATTTATATAACAGCATGTCTAAGCCACTTCCACATTCTATATTTTGGCCTCTTTTTGTGTACGGTCCTACTTGCAAATATGTTTTGCCAGTCAGTTTTATTATCTTCCTCATAGAGATTTAGCCCCCTTTGCTTCTGGCTCACTTAGTCTATTGTTTAAGGTAATGTAGGAGGTGGATACAGAGTGCAGTATTAGCCTTTATTGTACACATCCTCTTTTTATTTGTTCTTTCACAACCTTTAAAATCACTTAATTCTTTTATTACTTTGCTTTAAAGCTTTGCTTTTATTACTTAGCTTTTGGAAAAGGGTGATTCCATGTATAATTCAAGCTGATGTAATATAGAATAGATCAGCGGTATCTCAACCTCTTCTCTGCCAAGCCTTTAAACAGCAAAACATCTTGATCCTTTTTCATTCTAGTCGTGATCAAAGGAGAATTTTTAGATTTCTCTCCTAAGCTGAGTCTCCCTGTTAACAGTTTATGTAATACAGCATTTTGCTAGTCTTCTTTTTGTGGTACTTTGTACTGCTCATGGATTTCTAAAATGCAAATTTGGGGCTTGTTGCCGCTCATCTTTTCGCTCATCTGAATTTACAATATCGTGTTCGTAGGTGCTTTTTAAAATGTAGAATGTTTCCTCTTGATTTCTACCCCCACCCCTCCCTTCTCAAACCATATTGCATATTAAGCTTGTTTTTTCAGATAGAGCATTTTGGGACTTTGGAAGAAAGCTCATAAGATACCTCCTTTGAAGACTTTAGATAAAGTTATGCTGAGAATATGGTGATGATTTTAAAAATCAATGCAGTAATGGGATATGGGATGGGGGGGCAGTTGAAGACCATCTAGGGAATCTCAGGGGATTCTGAGTATGGGTGATAATCCATGATAAAACGTCATCTGGTCAGGGAGGAGTTGAACAACTTTTTGTGTTTTCCTTAGTTCAAGCTGACATGAGAAGTTGGAAACACCCAACCATCAGATGCCAGGGAAACAGGGTAAGCTGGCAGTGGGCTTGAGGGGAGGGATAGGGCACAAACCAAATTGTGTATTAAACAGTAAAGACCATCTGAGGCAGGTGTATTTTAAAGCTGGTTACAATCTCTTTCTTCCTGTGCTGTTACGCTAGTTCATAGTGCTGTTAAAAATGAGAGAAACTTTAATGTTTTGAGGTATCAGTCTTGCAGACAGATGTGGTAGAGCAGATCCTCACATCTCAGTGGTGTTAATCTGTAGGTTCATGTCACTTGTAGTAGGAGACAGCATCTAGATTTCAATGAACTCTGAACTTTTTTGGATGTACTAGTTTTGAGCGCAGAAATGGGGTTCTCCTTTAAGGAAAGCTTAAGTGCAATCTTGGCTTTTTTTTGTCTTACACTGAAACCATCTTTTAAAAATACAGCATTTTTACTTTTCAAAACTTAACTATTCTAATAACTGTAGACTAAAAAATAGCACAGAAGAACTTACTCTGTAAGGAGGCTGTGACATTTCATAACGTGTGCTTGGTTTTTAGCAATTATGGTTCACTTCCAGTTTTGAAACCGTGACTGTAGAGAGTTCAGGATATGCTTTAATGTTACGTAGAAAATAAAGGTGGACTAAGAGGTGGAAAGCATTATAGTGGACAGAATTGATAAGGAGCTTCAGAAAAAATAAGGGATGTTGGGAATGGACTACATTTTGCTTCATCAAATACAGTAGGGAAATCTGTGGAATGATTTTGGAAGGAATGTTTTTAACTTCTTACTGATATTATTTAAAGGGCCACAAGTTCAGTAGTCACATTTTTGTAAGACTTTTTTTTTTTCCTAGAATAGCCATCTATGATATGATTTCTGTAAATGTAAAAGTAGAGACAGATTCACAAATTTCTTTTAATACATTGGTGGAGAGCTCATGATGAGGGACAAGGTAAAAGGGAATTCTTTTCTTTGAAAGAAGTTTTCAGGTTGTAATAAAGTTTGCTATATACAGTCTGATAGGTACGATATCTAAATTGCATAATCTTGCTTGGGGAATTTAGCAAGTAATGATAAGTGAAACATAATGTTAGGTAGTAAAATCTGAGAAGAAAATTATCATTAGATAATCCATGTCATGTATTTCATTTTATTTTTTCAGAGTGAAATAAATGGTGCTTTTGTCATCTGATTGGAAAAGAATAGTGTATATATTAAAACATAGGAATGTTGTAGTAGATAGACATGTATTTTAGTAGCAACTTGGGAATATCTATATGTAGCTGAATCTGTCAATTTAAGTCAAAATAATTTGCAGATTTGTATTAATTTATTCTCAAATTTCTGCCTCTTTCTAACCATAGAACAGAGTAAAGCTTTGGGGGAATTACGTTTCGGTATAACCTGTTGTGTTGCATTTGGGTTAGTTTTCTGTCCATCATTAATAACTGTGCAAGCAGCTGTAGCTTTCTCAGGGATTAGTGACAGATACGATAGACTTAAGTTTAATAGGATACACTTGTGTGCAAGGCCTCGAGCCAGTAGCTCAGTTTGCTGCTGCTCCAAGTTAATGGCTGTGGAATATGTTCGAGCCTTTGACTTCAAACTTCTGTGCAGTTGAGTTGTTGTTGATCATGAGATAGAAATGTGATTTGATTTTTATGTGTTTATATGATAATAGATAAGAAAGGCAAGTTCTGGCGAAGCAGCATTTAGTCTCATGATGTCCTGCCTGGATACTGAGACCACAATATAATTAATGGCCGTAAGTGCCATGGCACTGCTTTAATAATAATCATACCACCACAACAGTTAAGTGGCCCATTAATGTATAAAGTAGATGTTCTAAATCTTCTGATTAGGATTTCTTGCCATTTGGGGACTCATACCTGGTGTTTGTGGTTTGGGTTTTGAGAAGCAAGTTCTTTAGTGGTGTGTGTGTGTGTTTCTTTCAACAAGTCTGCTGAAATATCGTTGCAGTTTGAGCAGGGGTGGGTGTTACATATTAAAAGAAAAAAGAAAGGTACTCCTGTAAGCAGATGATGATCAGGAAAGTTGTTAGCGACTGAATAAGCTGGTGATTCAATTAGATCGTCTTGGAAGCAGTCTGAAGTTTGCAGAATTGATCTGTATTAACCGTAGAGCTTTGAGTAATCAAAAGGACAGTCTGCTAGAACACTGGACTACAGTTCTATGTAGCATTCAGCAGTTGAGCTGACATTTTCAAAGGAACTTGTCAGACCTCTTTGGTATGTCTGTATTAAAATACATGTTCTTTTATTCTTAAGGATCTATAAATACTTTTTCTGGGGTTGTCAGTGTGGATGATTTTCTGTAAACTGGCGGCTGCTTTTAGCTGTGGATGCAAAAATATGCTGTAACTAAAATGATACTTTAGACTTATTTTATGGAGGCAAAATACATTTCAGTTCTAAAACTTGATGTTAATGTTATAGCCAAAATGGGTGATCTGTTTTTTTCTTAAGTCAAAAGGCATCGATTAATAAAGCAAGGAGAGAGGTGTTATTTAGAAACACTGGCATAATATCAAGGACAATTTACATTGGAGTTATGCACCTTAAAGTAAAAGCTTATTTCATGATTGAAAACATTTTCTGGTTTCAGTGTAGTTTAAATGAGTCTTGTTTTCAGTGGGGGGTGAATATATGTATCTGAGGACACATTCTGGGTCTGAAAGTAGAAGCTGTAAGAAATGCTAAACCTTCATATATTGTGTTATAAAGATGCAAAGCTGTGTGATATGTGTAAAGAAGTAAATAATGTTCTCAGGATCTGCAGTTGCATGTTTGTAATAAATGGGAAAAGGTTGCTCTTTTTATTTCTGACCAAAATACAGAAAATACAGGTTATGTTTTCTCTTGTCTGTTTTTTTGTTTTGTTTTGTTTCATTTGTTTTGCATAAAAATTTTCAGAATGTTATTTGATGATGTTTTCTAACTTCTAAAGCAGATTTAGAAGAAAGTATCAATGAACACGAGTTGGAGCCTTCGCCTCCCAAAGGAAAAAGGAGGGGTCGTAAGGGAAAGCCAAGAAAAACAAATTTAAAAGGGCAATCAGAAGACACTAGATCTACGTCCTCACATGGCACAGATGAAATAGAAAGCAGTTCCTATGTAAGCAGTAAATACACTAAACTTCTTAGAAGGCAGAATTGCATATTTTTTCTCTGCAAATATAATTTTTATTAAAATTTGCATTTGTCTGAGCCTCCAGCTGGTGGCCACAGGCTTTTAAAATTACAACCTTATTTGTAACCCAGCAGTATATTTTAGTAAAATGTTTTTCTTTCAGAGAGACAGGTCTCCCCACAGAAGCAGCCCCAGTGATACAAAACCTAAATGTGGATTCTGTCATGCAGGTGAAGAAGAAAATGAAGCTAGAGGAAAGCTTCATATATTTAATGCCAAAAAGGCTGCAGCACACTATAAGTGCATGGTGAGTAACAGTATTGTTGTTAACCAGCCTGTTATGTGAATTTTGTCTGAATTGCTATTTTAGATTTTAATACAGTCCCCTCACGTGTAATTATGCATGGGTATTGTCTGTGTGCTGATGATCTCTTGAAGCACTGAAGTGTTGCGAAGTGAGCAATTCATTTATTTTCACTGCAGGCAATATGGATAAAAGTTGGCTATGTGCTAAGAGAAGGAATTAGCTCGGGGAGACTCTTTAGCTTGTTAAAAATGCTCCCGTAGCATCTAAATGCGTACACAGTAGTTAAAAAAGAAAACAGAAAACAGCTTTAACTAAAAGAATTAACTCCAAAAATAAAATACCTTTACTCCACAGATATTCAAAGTCCTGGAGGAATCCATGAACTTCATTAGTTTTCTGACCAGTGGATTCAGGCTGCATGACTCAAAATAGGGTGGGGCATGGAAGTTCCAGAAAACCCTTGCCTTTAGATCATTACATTTATAGAACTGTCAGCCTGAAAAGATTCTGCTAATTTTAATGAACACGAGCAGATAGTGCTCTCTTTCATATAACCTCTTCTATGAATGAGGTAGGGCTTTGAGTAACAAACCTCAATGCTTCCTGTTGTACCTCAAAATGAATAAATAGTTCAGGCAATCTGTGGAGTGTTAATTGTCTTCCTATACCGGACCTCACTAAACAGAGAGCTGGTATGTACCAGCAGCCTTGAGTCTTAGAGTATTCTTCACTATGTCTACCTGAGCTTCAGTTTTAAGACAGTTAAACTGAATATACCAGGATGATGATAGCAGGGATGGTACTTACATGCTCCATTGTCATCCTTCAGGGCTTTTCAGTGTGTTGACATCAGCTGTGCTATGAAGCTGAATTACATACATGTCACAGGGAAGGAAATGGAATACCCCTGCAATGTTCAGTGGTGTAACTGATAATATTGCCCTTTTATTACTTTGTGTTTTCATCATCTCATTATTTCTTGTCTACTCCTTTACCTTTTAAAATGCATTTCTCCAAGGCAACAAATGTAATTTATCAGGTGGGTATCAGAAGGAATACTCATAATACTAATTACTCAGCATGAGGGGTTTTTTTCCTAGTTTGTGGTAAAGCACATGCTGTCACATGTGTGATCACAGAAGGGGATGTTCAATAGTCAGTTATTCCTGCACATAAAAAAAAAAATTCTGATCGTGTGGGTGACCTAAAATTATTTTGACATGCTTGTTTCACAGTTGTTCTCTTCTGGCACTGTCCAGCTAACAACAACTTCAAGGGCAGAGTTTGGTGATTTTGATATCAAAACTGTACTTCAAGAAATCAAGAGAGGAAAAAGAATGGTATGTATCTGCAGGATATGAATACTGGATTACTGGTTCTACTAAGGTGTATACAGCTCTGCCTCCTTCCTTTCATGAAATAATCTTTTCCATCTGTTTCTAAACACAAAATTTACATGTATTGTTACTTTTGGGACAGGTAGCCGGATAGGAATCACCTTAAAAATTATTGGTGTTTGAGCACATGGTATTTATTATTCTTTATGGCAGTGTACATAGTAAATTATTATTAGCCTTCCTGTAACTATAAGAGAGTAACAGTTTTGGATCCTGTGTTACTAAAAGCACGCTGTGTAAAATAAATTTGGAGAAAATGTTCTTGCAGTGACGTATTTCTAACCATTTTGATGTTTTAATACTTATTAAGGCCTCAGAGATGGAGATGTTTCTAAAATGTCACATTGTAATTTATTAAAATTCAGAATGTTTTTTAAGTGGTAAGAAATTGAAGGGGGGCAGAAAACAAACAACTGACAGTGTTCCTTGAAAAAAATAATCTAAGATTCTTCATATATTAACATACTAACTTCAGCGGTAGTAAAATGATCTTGGAAATACAATAATATGTGCAATCATGTAGCAGTTTTCAACTCAATGGACAGATAAATCCTTGTGTTCGTGTTTTAATAGGTTAGTGTTATATAGTTTCTGTTTTACAATATCTTTGATTAACTTCCCATTGGAAGGATGATCTGCCAGAGAAATTACTCTGTTCCAAAATGGTAGCTCCTCAATATGAGGAGCACTAAGCGGAATACTGAGAGGCAAGAGACCGAAGGGCTGAACAGTGCCATTCTCTTCTTTCCCCTGCACAGAAATGCACACTTTGCAGCCAGCCTGGTGCTACTATTGGGTGTGAAATTAAAGCCTGCATAAAAACATACCATTACCACTGTGGAGTAGAAGACAAAGCTAAATACATTGAGAATATGTCACGAGGAATTTATAAGTAAGGACCTATGTAATTCTTGAATCTATAATGAAAAGGAAGATATTTCATGGCACTTTTTCTGCCTAACTTGGCTAGTCAAGTATGTTATTAGAAAAGAGATCATTATTTCATTTAAAATGTTCTTTTTAAGTAATTATTGGCTTTACAAAATATTTCAGTTACTTTGCTAACTTAAAATTTCTGTAGTAGTGTTGTGATATGAGAGATGAGAAAATTAATTGACTTCTATTTTCCGCCTTAGTTAGTCTGTAATTTATTGAGGAAACCCTGGATAATTTTTGTCATGATTCCTCCACGTTGATATGTTTTGTAGCTTATTTTCGGGTTTTTTGGACCCCGTTCCTTTCCATAATTGCTCGCCAAACTGCTGGCGTTAGTGACTTGGCTGCAGTTGAGTTGCCAGTGTGGTTGTGCCCACAAGAGGGCATTCTCTGAGCCCTGTAGTAGCAGTTCTTGAAAACCAGAATTGATCGAAGTTTTGTTGGCTAGTCTTCGACTTTGTTTTATTTCTCAATTTAACTGATACCTGACTGAAAAGAGTTAGCTATTGACTTGTAGTGCATCTCAGAGCTAATTGAGATGAAAGTCTGGTATTGATAAATATTTTCAGTAAAAGTCCTCACTGCTTCTTTTATTGTGCTAGACTCTATTGTAAAAACCATAGTGGAAATGATGAAAGAGATGAAGAGGATGAAGAAAGAGAAAGCAAAAGCCGTGGCAAATCAGGCACTGACCATAATGACATTCCTCAGCAGCAGCTCAATGGAAACTAGGTATGGAAGTTACTCCTGGCAGATCTTGTTCCGAGACTGAGATGCAATATACATTTAATGTAGTTTATTGCAGTGAAGTATTTAAACCTAGTGTACTTTTTATCGGCATACTGTAGAAAAATGGGGAGGAGCTGCTGTTTTTTAAATCCAGCTGACTTTGTAACAGTATAAGAAGGGAGGCCCTCATTTCTATCACTAAATATAGATGTAATGTCAGAGCTGCTAAATGCTTTTCTGTATGATTTTAAATTTACTGTTGTTTTCATCATTTTTTAAACAGGTTCAAGGGACAGAGTTATAGAACTGGGAATGGCTAAGACATCATAACTACTAATTCTTTTAAATTGTTTTCTAAAATCAGAAAAGGGTTAGTAACCTTTTACTACCCAACTCTGTTAGAAATTTCATTGAACTGCCTGAAACGTTCATGTGTGTGAGCCTTCAGTAAGTGGCAGATTTTTACATGTCAATATTATGTAGTTTGTAGTCTGCAGTGTCTGGAAAAAATGAAACACTATATAAATGATATGTAATATGTACAGTGTCAAAAGTTAAGGCAGACGTTGAAACGAAGTAAGATCTATATTTCTGGACTGAATAAAACCCTTAAGATTTGGAATGTGTAAGTTGTTTAGTGGATTCATGCAATGAGAGAAGGTCTTAGCTAGTTTGCTTAACAACATGGACAAGTTCGTGGTGGCAACAAGCTGGTACTTTGTGAATTTTGCATTTTCTTCATACACAAGTTACGGAGGCTATACATGGGAAAGCCGCTCTCTGTTTTTGCTTGCAAAGCACACGGTAGAAAAGGACTCAGTGTACACCGAAGCACGCTTGAACATTTCAGGTTGTTCCTGTTGTGATTGCTCATTCCGCCTAGCATTGTTTGCAGGAGATTTACTTGAGCAGCTGTTGGTTCTGAGCTGTGAGCTTTAGAACTCATGCCAAAGGGCTGTAGTTCATTCTTTCCCCAACAACCCACCTCTTTCTGTGTCCCTGATCTACAAAGAACACTTCACTAAGTGTGATTGAAACCTTATTATACAAATGTTTGGACTTCGCAGCCCAATCTCTTTTTACTTCAGAGAGTTACAACTCTTAACTCACTATGGAATTTAGCCACCATATCTGACGTCCATACCTCAAGTGTTCTGTGTTGTGTGGAACACTTCATGTTTTGTCCAGAATATGCATAAAGGTCCCATATTCTGTAAGAAGAATGAGGAAACAACCTTTTTTGCTAGATTGGTATTTATTTTTTAATCTTATGACCACTATATGAGAAACTTTGCTTATCATCCTTATTGTTTTAGTGATTATTCTTTCTCTTTCTGTCCAGTCAACAACCACATCATGTAATTCTACTTGCTAGAGTTTGATGTTTCTTTAAGGAATAATCAGATCTAGGCTATACCAAACGTAACAGATCAGTTCTCTGACTGCTTTCAAAACACCTTGTCATTTCTAATGGCTACTAGCTTCTTCAATTGGTCTGTTGAAGCACATTCTCAGACTTCCTTAAATAAAACCAAAAAGCTGAATCTAGTCCACATGTTTGTCTGTTGCTATCCATCACCTTATTGTTTGTTTAGGGTTTTGACTTGTTTCACTCTGAACTCCCAACAAAACTTCTGGATTTGAAGGAAGGAAACAAGCAAAATACACTGATTTGACTATAAACTGCTACAGTTCTTCTGTGATTGGTATTGCAAGAACAGTTCATTTGTAACATGAGTTTCTGTAGCATTTTTTACTTGTATTTTTAAAAGATTTAACGTGTGTCATTTGTCTTCTTATGCATTCCCTTAATGTCTTGAGGGACTCAATTACTGTATATTGCAATTTCTAACATTTTACCTGTTAGAATTCAACCAATTCTGTTTGCTTTCCTGGAGAATAATGCTGTTTTGAAAAGAAATATTGCTGTGTACAGAAAATATTCAGTTACTGCTCTAAACATGATACCATTGATCATTTTTATTTTGTATTTGTAACTTTCAAAATTAAAAGTGTGACTTGAATTGCAATGACAGATCGATTATTGAAATTGTCTATCAAGGTGTTTTGTTTCTTCTAGAATATGAATACTTTTCAGCCACTCAGAACAGTTTTAGAATGCAAAATAACATCCTTCAATGTTTAAGTTACTTCTAGATTTGTGCCTCAGACATGGCCCTCCCATGGAAAAAAGGCACTTTGTTTGCAGCTACTGTATTTTAACTAAGGTTGCATGGGGTAGATCTGCCAGCATACTGATTGTATTTGAGACTGAGCTCTAATTCACAGTGTGTCAGTTGCTTAGTATAATATTCAGTCCAATAATTCATCTGTTATGAAATAAATGACCCCATTCCATGCCTCGAAGAACCAGAACAGCACTTTATCTTCAGGTAGCAGAAAAGTAAGTGGCCGGTTTACCTGTTACCTCTGTGCTGAGATGGCCTGACTAAACTGTCATTTATTCAGAATCCAAGGAAACAAAGTCAAAAGCAAAAATCTTTTCTTACGAGCCTCAAATTTGCGGTAACTGACTTCAACTCATGTATGCTGGGTAAAAGTGCCTTACAATGTAAAAATTGTATTTATATGTTCCCAAGTAGCATCACCTGCTGGGGAGTAATTCTGTCGTGGTGTTAATATTTAGAAGAAATGTACCTCAGCAGTGTATTTACTGTACATCTCTTACATCCTTAATGTAGTTTTAAAAAGCATGACAATGTATGATAGTATACAACATTTACATCATTTTTTTAAAGACAAAATACTGCCATTACTGTCTTTTTATGTGTATTTTAGCTTGGAATTTCAGACAGTCTGAATTTTTTTTTTTTTTTTGGGTAAAGCAATGTAATCTTTGCAAGCATATATTGAAGATTATTCTGGAGCATCTACTGCCTTCCCAGAAATGTTAGAAGTAATGAAAGTGCTCTATAGGTGAAATAGGTATGTTTAAATGAGCTAGTTAAATTAATGCAGTCAATTTGTTACTGAGTTGTTTGGGGTTTTTTTAATAGGCACCTTCTGCTTTCATCTCACAATCAGACAACTCGTGAATTTAACAAAACTTGTCTTATAATACTGGTTTCACTTTATTTCTTTTTTTTTTTTTTTTTTTTTTTTTAGCCTGTGGGCGTTTCTTTTGCTCACAAGAGTAGTGTGTGCGCTGTTTAAGATGCCTGGAACCCTCTGAGAAGGGAGGCTTCTCCCCAACTCTATCTCTGTATTAACAGATCTCCCCAACTCACTGTGTCTCTATATTAACAGATCTGCGATTGTGCTATACCAAGAAAGGACTGTTCCAAGGAAGGACAGGCATCAGAAGGATACTGTTCAAATACAGCTGGTGTAGTGCCAGAGTCAAGGCGTGATCAGACACTGTAGCCGTAAGCTGCGCTATCACTTCATTTCAAGGAAGGGTGAAAGGCCGGTTCAATATCAGCATCAGTGCAGCTAGCTAGGATGAA